AACCGCCTCCCGGTTAGCTCAATGGATAGAGCGCTGGACTGTAGTGCGGGAGGTCGAGGGTTCGAGCCCCGGCCGGACCAACACTCAAGGTCTTAAAATAATTGAGAAGAATTTGCTACCTTTCTATAACATCAAGAAATGGTTAGATATTCTAGTCTTCTCGGATAGGGACGAATAAATGGAGGTCCCGTCTCCTGTGATGGATGTCCTCCCCTGGGGTGGGATGGGTAGGTTAGGACTGCAGGTCCACATCAGCTATTACAGCTGCCAATTAATCAACCTGTTTAAACAAATAAATGGGCTTCAACACTGATTTGGGGGGCGAGAGGAGGGGGTGAAGTTACATGAAGTGAAATCTCCAGATACCGCAGAGCACGATGAATGTTCTCAACGGGGTGATGGCTTCCTTAACTGACGGTTAAAATTTTGGCTATTTTACGGCTACATGGTTAACCCAAAATCACAAAAAATGACACATTGTTGGAAGGAAATGCTTTTCCGGATAACTTTTTGTTACGACTTACGGTTAAAATTTGTCAATTTTTATTCTCAGACTCACCTTCCTAGCCGTTTTACGGCTAATGGTAATTCCATTAAGACCTTCATGTTAAGCAGAGACGAGATCTTCAGTGAACGTAAACAGTATTTCAAGTTGTCGGGTTTGTTAAGTTTGCCATTAAAATAATTATTTGTTTCGTTTGGTTTTTTTTTTTTTTTTCTTTGAATTGTTGTTTTTTTTTCTTCTTCTTGAATCTTTTTTGGTTTGCTTTGAGGTTGATTTGACAGAAGACGTTCTATTTTACGGCGAGTAAAACTTTGTTTAGTCTTGAGTTAAGCCATAGGAACGTGCCCTGAGTGATTTAACAATGTAAACAAGTTCTTTTTTTTTTAATTTTTTTTTGTCTGAGTTAGTTTTAATCTGACACAATTCTTTTTTTCTTGCACCATTTGTTAGTTCTCTCACGAGTTATTACCACTCTAACAGCGGAAAAATTTTGGAATAACAGGTCCGAGGCTAAACACATTTAACTCTTACAATAAAACAGCTTTTTTTTCAGGCTCTCTTCCTCAAGCGTATACATGTCGCAAGATGGTTTGTTTTTCTGAAATGGCTGTCGCTTGCAGTCAGGGCAAACGTTTGCTTCATGCTTGACGGCTTGCTTTCTGTCAACGCACCTTAAATTATTCCACGTTCAGTAGTGTTTTTCATTACTTAAAGAAATGAAATGATAAATTACTTTCAATTTCATTACCAATATCAAATTCTATGTACCAAAAATATATTCCAAAGAAACCTCTAGTATTTTTACATGTTGATTGCCGATCATTTTAAGTTTTCATCGCGTTCCAAATATGTTGAAGTCTCTATTCCAAGTTTAGAAGAATTTTACCTCCAAAATAGATGTATGAAATAACCTGTATTTACTCTAGGTTGTACAGAGAAGGGGAAAAAATAAAATTTGTATGGCGCGTCATCGTGTTATTCAGGTAGATCTCGATTGTTCTTCATGCAAATCTAGTCATATCCCTATTTGAAGTACAAAAGTTATAACTTATGGAAATGTTTTAAGTCTGCTTGACAGTATATTGTCATTTTAATTGCAATTTACGAAGAGCAGATTTTTTTCTTCACCATCTAAACAATTTTTGCCGCGTAACGTAAAGAACAGCTGTGTTGTTCACTGATTGATAGACAGATCTTTACTGTGATTGGTTAGCGGGACGGAAGTCGTAAATGCCGCTTGTAACGCAAGAAAAAACAAGATCGTGTGTTTTAGTTCGTCTTCGGTTCGGATCGCTGTTTGTTCGTTTAATCGGTGCTTGACATGACCACACAATTGTAAAAAGCTCGAGGGAGGTCATCGCGATACAAGCTGTAAACTATGATTTTGCGACGTTAGAAACCACACTCTAAAGCATCTCTGCGCTATTGCTATGTGTTATGTTGCCTCGGCGAGTTTACGACTGTGGGTTTTCTCGATTTGAATTGAAATGGCGACTTCTCTCATCTCCTGGGACATTTACGTCCCTAACTCGCTTGAAACAGGGACACTACTGACAAGATGGGAAGAGGTATATCAAACGCCCTGTGTGTAGAACTCTTGCATGGTTGTGTTAGAAAGAAAAGTAAAAAAGACAGAGTTACTAGCGGTTAACAGTTCGATACCCTACAAGTGTACTTTCGCACCAGGGAGCTTGTAGCGGACTGTCATCTTGATTATTGCAACTTGGTTATCTGATGCTCGATTCGTTTCGTTTTCCAGGAGTCCAACTCAAGTCAAGGGCTGTTTTTCCGTGTCGACAAGTATGGCTTCTTTCTGGGTTGGAGAGAAGACGATAAGGTAGTTTGTAGGATCGTTTGTTCACTAGCTACGACAATCATGAGAAATTAAGCCAGCTTTCTCTTTGCAGGAATCCGTCTTCGCACAGAGCGGTGCTATGTTTGGCAAATCCTTACTTACCTCAATGAAATATTTAAGATTCTTGTCACAGACTCTAGTTGCTCACCTTTTCTCCTTTTCTCGGTCTGATTAGGAAGGGAATTGTTTGGATCTGTGTCATGTGAGTGAAGTAAGACCCGGTGGTGTACCAAAGGTTCGTATATTTTTGTATTTGACAACGCTTCGTTTAGATATGTTTTATTTGCCGCAAAATTACCATTGATTGTAGGATTACTGAGCAACTATTTTTCTGAGTGCTTCTAATAATTTTTTTTCTAAGATTTCGAATCTAGATTTTGCAGCAGTTTTTCTTACGCAACCATGAAAAATATTTTTTTTTCGAAATAAAGAAATGGGAAAAGCTGATGTATATTTCGTGTCGGTCGGCAGAAAAGTTGTGTACTCTCTTTCACGTAAAATGTTTAATGGGTAGCGTTGGTATCAGGGTGGAATTGTTTGTATGTTTGAATCTTTGCTACCGATCATGAATCGAATTTGTGGCTTGCACTAATATCAATAAATCGCGAAGATTACACATTCTGAGCATAGGTACACTTTCGTTATTGCGTTTTTGGAACACGGTTGTATTCCGCGTGGGCAAAGCATTTGGTTCTGTTTGGAATCGTCTCGTCGGAGTTATCTATTTTTAAATTTGATCGTGTAAAAATTGCTGAAATCAGGTTTGAAGTTTCTTGAATAATATTCAATCTATTTTAGCAGGCATCGTTCCTCTTTGGTATCGAAGGAATTCAATGGTTGAAGTGCGCATCCCTGACACCTTTGTTTACATTTCAAAAACTCGGAAACCCCGCGAATAAAGTTATCTACATTCGTGTTGTTTTCTCCGCTTTATTGGGTTTCATAGGAAATCCAGTCGGAAAAATTTCCTTTCTTGGTTGCCTAAAATTATTATGTTTTAGGAATAGACATGGTTTTTTTGTTATTGACCACCGCTGTTTTGAATATTGTGATTTTAGTCGGAAAACGCAATGCTTGAAGATTTGTGAGTCCGGTAAGAATGCAATTATCAATATACTTGTTTCCGCGACTGAAAGATTCAATATATCTCGGTAAGTTTAACCACTGGCTTCAAAGACAAAACGAGGAAATCAAAATCGAGAGAGGATGTAAAATTTGATCTCTACGGGCGCTTTTTGGGAAGTTTTGTCTTTGGTTTTGAGTAGAATTTCCAATTTTACTGGCTGATCAACTGAACGAGCATGCAACCGCGAGGAAACGTTTAGATCAAAATGAAAGCAAATGCATTTTAAGTTGTAGCTGATGTCAAGTACGACATAAAGATATAAAAATTTTGACGTTTGTCGTGAATGGCTGTCAAGTTTGTGTGCAGTTGGTGTTTGAACTGAATACTTTGTAGTATCATCAGCAACGCGAGTTAACAATAAGCGAATTTCAATATCGACCGGTTGAGTACTTTTGTCTTATGGATTAACTAGAGCCGGTGCGGGAATTTTCTCCGCGTAATTAGTTTTCAAGGGTGTTTTTTGTTCGAATAAATCACGCACATGCGGTTGAACAATTTGGAACAGAAACCTATACCTAGGTGTTACATCACTCTGATTGTGGGCGACTGTATGCAGGTTGAATAAATCGAGTAGGTGAACATTCTGCCTAATGCATTAACGTACATTGATAACAAAAATTAAATTGCAAATATCTTCATAACAGCTGAGTGCATTAAGGTTCTTGACAGTTTTGTGTGGGTTTTAAGTTAACCATCTCTAGAGGTTGGTTTTATTTCCTTTTTTGGTGTACATTTTTCATGAAAAACGTAATTTGCTGAAATGGTGTCAAGTTTGTCCAGACAGCGTTAAAAGTTAAAAAAAAATGTAGTGTTTGATATCATCAATTTGATTTATCAAGTTGTAAACAAATTGAATAACCGTGAATAGAGATATATGTATGTATATATTTTTTGTCAGCCACCCTGGCTTGTGGGCCTAGAACTTAATAGGTACCACAAGTGGCTGTTGGGGTCACATGTGCTTTCACCAAGACCTTCCAGGCTAAGTTTCAACATTATTAAGTTCCTTTTCCGATTGGCTCTCGTCAAAAGTAAATGGCAACCCAAATTAAAAAAGAAAGAAATCATCAAAAAAATTGCTCTGCTACTTAGTTCTTAATCTCATGTGAGACACTTTTGCTGCCTGAATTTGTTCAGTTATTGCAGCAGTTGGTAGTTAGAAATATCAGGGGCATTTTCCCTATAATGCACACATGTTTGAAAAAAATTTCCTTTTCTCAGTTGAACAGCAGCTGGCTAAATGAAACTTTACCCATTTTTACCAAAAATAGAAAATCACTTATTTTGGTGCAGGTATATATAATAAGTTCTTATCTATTGTAACATTTAAATTTCAGTTACTGCTTTTTTTTCGATTTTTTTAAAAGTGATGCTAATTAAGTTCAGTGTGGTGAGCAAAGACCTCTGGTTTAATTGTTAACTTGGTAATTTTCCAGCAGTTATGTCTACCAGACAAATTATGAACTATCCAAATTTGTAAATGGGTAGTTCATGTCATTTTCCCTCTTGTATCAAAACAGATTTGACAGATATTTTTACTAAAAACCAATGCTTTAACTTCTTACAAATTTATAAAATGGCTGGTTGATATTTTTGTCATCTCTTGGCAAATTTTGTGTCACAGCGAGGGGGTTCACTAGTTTGCATTGCAGCATTTTGCTTTATTTTAAGCACGACAAGTAAAATTAATAGTTAAACTGGCAGAGCAATCCCTTTACCAATAAATTTTTAAGAATTCCAAGTAGCTTTTAGGCGTTTATGAGAGTTCTTAGAGGCAATGGGTTTTAATGGTTACCACCTGAAAAGTCTTGTCACCAGTGAAGGTTTAGATGTGGCAAAAATTCAGGGTTTTCTTTCCTTTGTATGAACTGTAAACATATTTTTTTCTTTTGATACATGTGGTATTATTTAACTTTAACAATAATTTGTTACAGAGAGGGCTCTCAAAGTGACTGAAAATTTTTTGTTTTGATCTCAAGTTGCCAGATTTTGTCATACTGAAAAAAAAAAAAAAGAAAAATTGCACCTGTCTTTATCTTTAATTGTCTTCAAAGAATATTTCTTGCTCTTTAGGACTGATTGTCATGTTTTTGTTTTTCAAGGTTTAAAACAGTGTTTCTTTGTGATTGAAAGTCTTGTTTTAATTGAAAATTGTTCACATCACGAACTGTTGTTATGGAAACCTAGAAATCTCGGTAGATTTGTATTTATGCTTTTGAAAAGAAAAACGATATAACTGGGTGTTTCATAACAAAGGCAATGTTCTGAAATTTAAATATTTATTTAAACTTCCATAGAGCTTTAAAATGTTGAAAATTACTTCTTCTTTTCAATCAATAATTTATCTCATGGAATGGTGGTATGTGCAACTCATTTTGAACTGATTGTCTAAATTTGTTCCCTCAACGAATAAGTGTTAAGGATATTGAAATTCTACATAGGAATAACAAACTCATTATGTTAGTACATGTACTTACTCACTGTGAAGTTTAAGAGGATGACAATTCCTTGTTTATTTGCCATATTCCTGTTACTGTCTTTCTTACAGTTAAGGGAATGTGTTCAGTTAACTGCTCACAAAAATGAATTCAGTTTTTAGTCATTGTCATAGAGACTTGCTTTTGAATAGTTAGATAAAATCTTGAAATGATTTTGAAACCTGATGTTATTCTGACACAGTCATCTTTGATAAAAATAACTCTGAGAGCTTCCAATAGGAGTTTAATCTATAACCTTGGCATAAGTACTTAGAATGCTCTACCACTGGGCTTAGGAAACTCATGGCAGGCTAGGACATTTCACTGGATCTAGGGTGATAAACTGCCTACATAGTGTTAGGATGGAGTTATTGATATGTGATGCACTGGAGAACATTATCTTTCACTTAAATCACCAGGCTTAGAATGAAAAATCACCAGGCTTAGAATGAAAAATCACCATAGTCTTTTACATGATCATGCAACAGTTTTCTGAACAGAAATACATTAGAGAGATAGGGGGAAACCAATTAAAAATGAGAATGGTGAAGATTAACAGAGATTGGACCTAATGTGCTTTCCCATTACCCTGTAACTGCCCTGATTTAGTCAGAATTAATCTCCCCTTACAATATCAATGATTAAAAATACCCAGAAGACAAGTAATGAGACTGAATTAAGATAAATATTAATCAAGGAATTATTGGTCAATCCAGTAGCAGATTCTCAGAAGTTAAATCATAAGAATTGTATGGCGGACAGTAAGGAGAATTAGTCACGAGATCTTGGGAGTGAAAGCGTTTAATGGTTATAAGAGGAAGTTATGTTACTTTGGAGATCCTTTTATTCAGAGAATCATTTCTACTCAGGAGCGGCCTGAAATCCACCAAAGGATGAGATTGCCTCCTGGTTAAAGATACAAATGTATTTATTTATTTATAATGCCCATAATGTATATGTACATGTATTCACTAAATCAGTGAAATCCTTGAAACTTATAGACAATATTGTTGACAAGACTAACCTTTAATTATAATTTGACGAGAGAGATAAAAAAACTGACTCTGATGATGAAAACAATTTAACTTTGGCAAAAATGAATTTGAAAGAAATGACTTAAACAAAAGCATGTTGATTAGGTCATATATTATTCTTTAATTTGTGCAACTGCATATATATATTCATGTGCACATCTGTATTTTAACCCCTGTTTATTATTCCTTTTGTCCAAATGTTTCATACAGTACTCTTCTCTTCTCTCAAACATAAGATTGTGTTTAAATCAGGGCTCAACAACAACTTTTCAGCTTACTAGCCAAGGGGCTAGTGACAACTTAGATGTAACAACAATTTCAGTTTGTTTACTAGCTAAACTGGCCAGTGGAAATCAAAAACCACAAGCCAAAACTGAATTTCTACTACAATTCAAACCACAAGCCAATTCAAACCACAAGCCAAAACTGAATTTCTACCCACAATTCCTCTATTCGCTGCGACGAAGGGCTAACGCTCGAAACCTGAGCTTTTGTAATCGTTACGGTGGCCAATTTACCATTTCAACTTTGTTGATATATCCAAATTATTTCGTTACCCCCACCAATGCAGCCCCAAACAGTTTCTTTAGAAACTATCAGCCTTTATTTATTTGAATTTCTCACACACCCCTGGGAGCCATGTCAAGCCAACCACCGCAAGCCTGACCTTTATTCACACAATAACAGCCATCAAATTTTACAAGTATACATGGAGTTTCAAAACATGAACTAGTTAAGAATCGAGACAAAATCTAAAATCGTTTAGAAGTGTAATGAACAACTGAAAAAACTCTTGGGTGGGTGAGTGGGAAGGTCAAGCAATGGCGGTCAACAAAAAACAACTGACCGCCTTACACATCACATGACCTTAACCCATCCCCAGGCCCCAGCGGTGTGTGAGAAAAACATTTTCCACTTATTTCGTTCCACTCAGCCAGTGGAAAATCACCCTTCTCACACACCCCTGGGAGCCATGTCAAGCCAACCACCGCAACGGCACAAAGCATAGAGTGAAAAACTAAGAGAAATACTATTTCCAAAAACAAAATCCACAAGGCTTACAGAATGGAACATAATGTGCAAGTAGCAAGCCTTGCCAAAGTCAAACAGTCTCATAAGGGCACTAGATAATGCAAAAATCAGTTCATAAGTACAAAAAAGGTTCTGAACAGCTTGGGATCACGCCTATAATTCATGAGGTTTGGTCTTGAATTGTCCTGGTAACCAGAAGCAGGGACTCCAAAGACTCCTCAATATAGTTATTCCGTGCCTTGTCGCTACGCCAACCGCCCTGCCTCTGGAACAGACGCTCAGGGACCCCAAAAGCTGCTGCGGTTGTAGCGCCTCCAGCTCGCAGACTATGAATTCCATACAAGGCAGGATCTAGCCCCTCCTTCCGCAGCTCGGCCTTAATCAACTCAGCTGCCCGGCTATATGACATAGGATCTATCCTAAGCTTCATTCCCTTCTTTGTGGACAACACCCGCCTGAATAGCCGCGACTTCCTGTCATGATTGCCTACCCTCAGAAACTTCTCAACCACTGCAACCGGGCAAGGTGATGAATCGCTGCGAGCTATGAAAACCCACGAGCCTTGGCGAAACTGATCATTCTTCCTCTGTGTGAGAAATATGGCAAGATGAGAATCCTCAAACTGAAGATTGTCCACAGTCAATCGACTCAGATCGTCCCAGCGAAGGAAGCCGAAGAAACCCAAAGCGAACAAAGCAGCTACCTGGATATCAGACAAAGGGCCTTGCTCGAGGCGACGGATAGCACTCTTAACATGGCTGGCTTCCAGAGGCCTCCTGCGATTTGGGGGCTTAGCAAGGATCCTTCTTCCGGCCTCCGCCACCTGCTGTATGAGAGGATGGTCACTCANTGGTCTGTTGTCATTGAAAGAAATCTCAGTGCAAACAAAAACATTATCCTCGACAGCACTGGGATGGTTCCTGAAAAATGCCTCCTGAGGAAGGGAAATAAATGGTAAGCTATAGCCTTCTTGAAGGACACGCAGCACCCACCTGCTAGCCCCAATGTTCTGCCAAAACGAAATATTCTCCCTCAATCTGCCTTTCACAACCGTGGGACAAGCAAAATCAACATTCTCGAACTCAAGATATCCTCTATATACACTCTCTTCTAGGGGGAAGTTCAGGGCATCACTGTTGACTTCCAGATGATTGCCCATTGTTCTGGCCCCATCCTGGACTTCCACTTGCGACTGATGCACGGCAATCCCGGGCGTAATGGCCGTTTCGACCGCAGCGAAAACACAACTGCTTGGGGTCACGTGCCACGTTGGACGACATTCCCGCCGTTCGGAAGTTATGGGTTTTTTCAACCACACGTTTCGACCCATCAACTCCTCGTGGTAGGGGCGACTTCTTCGGTTTCCACTTCGCTGCAGCTGCCTTTCGTTTCTCCTCCCTGAGTTGCTTGCTTTCTTTGATGGCCTTTTTTATCCGTTTTTCGTCGCCAGAATCACTAGCAAGCGGCTCGGCTGCATAACATTCCACCGTGTCCCACCCATATTTATCGGCAAGACAAATGTGCTTATTCCGTTCTAAAAGAAGTTGCTCACCTTCTTCGAGGAGCTCGGACCTAGACTCATCATCACTCGTATTCTTAGCCCTGTCAATTTTATCCAAGACGTCGCGATTAAGTTTGTACTGCTTTTTGTTTCCCTCGAAGCGAAACTCCGGCTCCGGATCGCTCAGTTTGCCATGTTTTCGAAGCTTCGCATCATCAATCTCGTTCTTCAGCTTCTTTAACTCTTTCGAATACAGTTTCTGCTGCTGCAACAGCTCCTTTGCCCAACTTGGCGGTTCCTCGGTTCGGTTTGGAGGGTCCTCGCGCTCCGGGCTTTCGTGCCTTGATCCTTGACTTGATCGACTATTACCTCGCTGACTAGGGCTTTTGTTGTATGGCTCAAGTCGCCTAACCGCCCGAGAACTCCTCTTCGAACGTCTAGTTTCCTTCGGCATGCTTTACTAATGATTCGTGACTAACTATTCGTAACAAATGTAAATAATACACGCACTTTCGCAGAAAAAGGTCAAGCAATGGCGGTCAACAAAAAACAACTGACCGCCTTACACATCACATGACCTTAACCCATCCCCAGGCCCCAGCGGTGTGTGAGAAAAACATTTTCCACTTATTTCGTTCCACTCAGCCAGTGGAAAATCATCCTTCTGCTAGTCTGTAGCTAGTTGGCTACTGTTACTATTGAGCCCTGGATTTAATTAAAATGATGGCTGCACTGATTTATGTCATCCTTTCTGTTAAAGGATGCCAAGTTGCGAGAGATGCTTCAAAGTGAAGGGGAAGGATTCTTGGAGGACAGGTCATTTACTGTTGTCTGTGGGCAAAATCTTGTGGATGTTACCTACTTGCATTTGACAGCACCATCATGTAAAATTGCAAGGGTAAGAGTGCTAAATTGAAATTATTTCATTCTTCAAGTCCCAGGAGTGATGCAATAACTAGCAATAAGGTAGAGGGAACAGATATCTCTGTCTGGTAAAGGGTTCAATCTTTATACAGTGCCAAAATTAATAATAAATAAATAATAAATTAGTTCAAATTAGTCTTTCCACTGTCAAGATCTAATTCGCAATTCTGTGCACCATCTGTCACATATTTCGTATGATTTTTAGCACTGAAAATGATTTGTTAGATCAAACTATTTCACTCAGTAGATAAATAAATTATAGCGGAGCTCGCAGCACATGTAGCATAGCCCCATAATTATACAAAATGGTAGTAATAACCCATCAAGCTGAAAATATTTGGACTTATGACCGTACAGGCATCTGTACAAGGTGCTACTTTTAGCATGTGCGGTCAACTGAACGACAGGCATGCCAATGCCACGGCTTTGTCCAGTAGTGCGGTGGTCAGTGCACTGGGTTCCAAGTCAGATGACTTGGGTTCGAGTCCTGGCTGGGGCAAGTTGTTGTGCCCCTGAGACATGCAGGAAAAAAAAATGCAAGCTCCACTTTTAGGCCTGGCTAAATCTATATATAATTAATATCTTTTTATCACCTTTTGACTTGAAAATTTTGATTTTGTAAGGAGAAATTCCCTTTTGATCACCCAGGGAATGAAAGAGCTGATCGATCTTAATAACTTACTTGAGGTTTAAATGTGAATTTGTCAAGTGTCAGTTAAATTAGATGCAAAAGTAATTTAAAAGAGCTTTGATGTTTGTGTTGTTATTACCAGGAATGGATTAATGGACTGCCACCCTTGTTACGCAACCTCAAGATTTACAATGCCAGCGTCTTGACACAGTTATTTAAACTGTAAGTAGACCATGCTGCAGTTTATTTTGGTAGATCAAGGTGGAATGCATGTACATTTATAATTATGCAGTGTTAAATAATTAATGGCCACGTTCATTAACTTTTCATGTGAGATTTCTGCATTGCATTCCCCCCCTGGCAAATCAACTTCCTCCGGTAATAGTCTGTGGATGATTTAACAGCTGAAGACATAACTTGAAGCTTCAACTGCAATTGTTTCCCATATCATTGTAGTGCTGCTTTTTGGGCAGCACCATGAGGTTTTAGCCAGCGTACATTTACCCATATATGACTATAACTAATAGTTTTTCCTTTGCTTAGCATTTGCTACCATCTCCTTCCACTTTCTCTTCCCGATGATTTTTCATTGTTAGTGTAATAAGTTCTATTTTCCTTGTGGCTTAGTTCAGGGCTTGACACTAATGGTAGCCCACTAGCCACAGACTAGAAGAAATTCAGTTTTGGGTAGTGGTTTTTTATTTCCACCAGCCCATTTGACTAGTAAACAAACTGAAATTGTCTTGTTATCTAATATGTCACTGGCCACTAGCTGAGTCAGACTTTCTCGGTTGTTTCTTTCATTTGCAGCTATATCAAGCTCACTGTTCACTTGGCAACTCCTTCCAACAAGATTTCTGTAAAGAAGTAAGCTTCCTTATTTAATTAATTAAGTAGCCTGTCTTTCCAGGTTTAGAGAAGTCTAGAAAAGGACTGTTGTCAGTATTAGCAACCAATTTTTTTGACAACTTGAGCAGAAGTGTTCATCAGAGACGAGCATTACCCTTGTTATAAGTTATTATAAGTGTGTAATATCTTCTTAATGCTTCATCCAGAGTTGTAGCTTAGAAATGAAGCTTGAATTAAGATTGTAAGTGCTTAACTGAGCTATCACCGGGCTCAGTGACAACAGAGTTAATCTACCATACAGTATAAGGGTGTACCCTTGTCTATTTGCACTTCATTATGGAAGAACAATAAGTGGCAAATGAACGCTGTTAGAAAAGAGAATTTGTGAATTTGGGCTAAATTACAGACAGTACTTCTAGACACCTCAAAGTGATGGAAACTCGCTGCAGCTGTAATTGAAATTTCTCAACTAAAGACATACTTCCATATCCTATGGACTACTTTTCTCAATCTTTTTACTTTTGTTTTTAGTATCTGTAAGAGCCTTAATGTTGGAAAGTATGAGCAAAGAGTATTTGAAGGGTTAGAAGCTATGAAACTTCCATGTGGGAAGGTAAGAATTTGTGAATCAAACTTTATTTTTCCCCTATACATAAAGCTTTCCTTTCCACAGTTAATTTACTCAACTCATTTACTCCCAGAAGTGATTAACATGTAACTTCTCCCTATAAAATCCAAAGAGCATCCAGCAAACGGGTAATAAGAATACTCAAACCTATTACATGTAGGAGTTGTGATCTTATTCTGACATCATGATCAAATTCTCATACCTCATTTATAGGGAAACTTGTAGCAGCTAGAGGGGAGAATTAGCAATCAGAACTTGGCAGTTAAAGGTTTTAGGAAAATTTAAACAAAAGATGAAATCCATTATAAATTTTTCTAGAATGGGTGATTTTTCACACAAAGTGTCCTGTTTACAAGGTATTCAAATAAAAAAGAACACCTTCGAGACGTGGAAAGGAATGACAAGGACACATCGAAACCAGTCGCTAGACATTTTAATTTACCTAATCATTCTAAGCAACATATGGCAATCTGCGGTCTTTCCTTGCACTTAGGTGGCACGGAAAGCCGTAAAAATCTTGAACAAAAGCTCATCTTTCAAACCGGCAGTCTAAATCCCACAGGGATCAATGAACGCTTTTCATTCCACTAATTTATTCATGTTTTTCTCGTTGCCATGCACCCACCAATAACGTAGCTCCATTTTCTGCCTTTAAAAGCACACACAACCCACAATTCCTCTATTCGCTCCGACGAAGGGCTAACGCTCGAAACGTCAGCTTTTGTAATCATTACGGTGGCCAATTTACCATTTCAACTTTGTTGATATATCCAAATTATTTCGTTACTCCCACCGACGCAGCCCCAAACAGTTTCTTTCGAAACTATCAGCCTTTATTCAAATGAAAAACCATTTTGTTTTATACTTTCTATTCAATAGAATGACGAACTTGACTGTGCATCATTCACCTTTGAGCAGTTTTACCAGCTCTACTTGAAAGTTTGTGGCAGGCTTGAAATTGAACAACTGTGTGTTAAGTGGTAAGGAAAGAAAAAAACATCAATTATTTTTCTTCATTTTCACTTTGTTGAATCTTTTTTTTTCTCTGAACTTGATTTGGTTAATTATTTGTTTTGATTAATGTTCCATTAGGCCTTGTTCAGACTAGGTGTCACTATCTGTGCCTGGTTTTTGAGAACTGGCACTAGTCTAAACTTGTATATTTTTTTTCAATGCCCGAGCAAAAAATCTGAGCATATGCCTATGCAGGCACAGGCATTACCCCTAGGGGTAGTGCTCGGCACTGTTCCCCTGCATCCCTACAACAGGGGTATGTAGTCATTAAAATGGCAAACATATTGTGAACTACAAAATGTTAGACACCAAACCCTATGCATGAATGAGTGTGAACATACTCATTCCAGGGCTCTGGGGTGTCTGAACAATGTCCATTTTGGTGCCTTGGTACAGTGCTGTGGAATAGAAACTCAGTTTGAAATGGGGCCCAAGAAAATTATTGTTATTTTAAGCCAATGAAAATAACTGTTAATTGATCATTTCTTTTTTTTTTGACAGGGGTGGTGGCAAAGCACCCTACCTTAATGTCAACCAACTGGTTAATTTCTTAAACCAAGAGCAAAGAGATCCTCGATTGAATGAGATACTCTATCCCTATTACAACAGAGAGAAGGCCCTTTCTCTGATATGGAAGTATGAGAAATCTTTGGATAACCTACAAAGAGGTATTGAGTATACGTAGAAGATGCTGCAGCTATAGAAATGTAGCAGTGACTTGTTGTGCAGGCCACAGGATAAGCAGTCTGCACTTAGAGCACCTTTAAAATATCAGATCCCCTTTAAATGATAGAAAAATTAGGGGAGTGTTGCTTTCATATCTTAGAATATGGCAGGTGGAAGCATAAACATTTCACTACCAAGATCTAGATAGCAATTCTCCACTCTGTCATGCATGTTGATCTATTTAAGCTCTGAGAATTGGATTTGAATCAAACTATATCTCGTTGTTGATATTTTTCTTTCCCCCAATCACCTTTCTGCTTGAAATGTACTGGTCTGGAGAAATTCTTGAGCATGCAAGGGTTTAATTTCTTGAGCTGTGGCCACAGACAAGCTAGGTTCTAAAGGAATGCTTATTAGCCAACTTTTATGGTCATTGTATATTGCTATATCTAATCATTTATTCTTTTCTCTCTGTGTTCGTGTGGTAGATCGTATCACTGTTAATGGACTGACAAGATATCTACTGAGTGACGACAATCTTCTTATGATGCCTAACAGAGTGGAAATTTATCAGGACATGACACAGCCTCTGTCACACTACTTTATTAACTCGTCACACAATACATACCTTGTGGGTAAGCCACCTGAGCGATTAGTATTCATATTCTCCATACTGTTCTCTATACATTTCCTAAGATGCCGAGAAGGAGAATTTACTTAACAATCAAGAGTTTCTTTAGTTAGTGATCATCTCCTTTATTCTCTTCACCTTAATGTTTGATTCAGGGATGATATTGTATGGAGAAATTAGATGCTAATCACTGTTAGGGGTCAAAGGGTTAAATTGCATAGTTTTACACAATTTTATGCAATTTTGTGGTAAACTGTTGCTCGGCTCTGATGCTATACAAGTTAGAATTGCATTATTTAATAAAATCTTGCATTCTGATTGGTTAACAAAGCAAGGTATTTAGCGTGGAATTGCAAGTTGAAAACAAGGCTAAGTGATATTGTTTCGCATCTACGTACACATAATAACTATAAGTAGTGCTGTTTTTTTTTCTTCTTTTTAATTCAGTTATGTGATTCAAGCAAAATCCATTATTTGAGTTGTGAATTCCACATTAAATTGCACTCGAAAACCAATATCGCATTGATCACTTCACGATTATGTGATATCAGTTTTCAAGTGCAATTTAATGCAGAATTCCCTCATCAAGTAATGAATTTTCCTCTAATATCCAAGAGCTGAGCATTAAAGTATTCCATTTTAATGACTTAACACTTTGTAACAACAGTAAACCTTGTTTATTCATTTGTTTGAAATTTTTAGTGGTAAAGAAATGGACACGGCTCAGAAATAAAATATTTTTTTGCTTGTCGATATACTTGTTGTGAATCATAAGTGTGAGTGAAACTCTTTGTATGTAAAGATATTGTATTGTATGCTTGCAATTAAATAACAAAAACAAGAGCCAGGACTGATTTATGGGAAGCCGACAAATAAAAGTTAATAAGCAGCATGATTGCTGGAGGTTTTGTTTATTTTTCCAGGGCGTCAATTTGGCGGCAAGTCTTCTGTTGAGATGTACAGACAATGCCTGCTGGCAGGCTGTCGGTAAGAAATGTTTTTTTTCATTGTTTAAAGCCTCAAGAGAGTAATTATTGAGAACTGTAGAATGGAAATACTGGTATGTTTTTATTTACTTAGCTATTAATTTTGTCCCATCTCTAGAAAGTTAATTAATTTAAAAGGTAAACACTTTGAGTTTCAGTTGTTTTATTTTCTAAAGACCTCTTAGAAAAAGTTTTTCTACTCTAATTATGGCCTAAGTGCAAAGTATGTTGGCCATAAATTTGAGCAGAAACAGATAGGGTTCTTTAACTAATAGTACAGATTGAGAAAATGAGGTTATAGTAAGATCAATATTTATTATATCTTTGGCTTAAGATAAAAGGGAAGAATTTCAGTTCCAACAAACTTTTGAATTAGTGAGCCATACAATGAAATATGGGTTGCTAAATTGACCAATCGTAGAGCACACGCTAACTGAGATATACAATAATACTTCTTGTCTTAAATCAAAGGTGCATTGAACTGGATTGCTGGGATGGGCCTGGTGATGAGCCCATTATAACACATGGCAAAGCCATGTGTACTAACATCATGTTTAAGGTGAGGTCACTGCTCCCCTAAACTGCTAAGATCTGATAAGGAATTCTTCCACTCTGCTGGTATCTGTTTCTTTGTAAGTCAGTAGAGAATTCCTTATGACAGTGTGTACAGTATACCAATAAAACAACTGCTAATTAACCCTTGTATAGTGGAACCTTGATTTAACAAAGTGCCAAGGGATTGGGGAAATTGGTTCATTATATCAAGGACTTGTTATATCAAGGTTCTGTGGCATACCTTTTGCTGTAACTGAAGCCAGGCTGAAACTGAAGTATTGTTCGTTATAACGTGGACTTCGTTATATAGAGGTTTCTTAATCCAAGGTTCCACTGTACCCCAAAGAGTGATCAACATCTAATTTCTCCTTATAGTATCACCCCTGAATCAAGCATTAAGGAGAACACTATTCGAAGACAATTTCCTGGATCAGGGCAAAAACTTCGTTTGCGTTATTAAGATCGGCCCTAATCTGCCTAAGAGGATCCAGAACAATTAGAAGGCCCAAATTGGATTTTACTAAATGTAGACCTGGATATTCAAAGTTCAAAGGCTGCCATTTGTGAGGATCTTGTTAATAGGATTACTGTTATCATTGTTATCACTATTAATAATCATTTTTATTATCATTATTATTATCATCTTTATTATTATTGAAAAGCTCAATAAGTAAATGCAGACGAGGGGTGTTTTTCTTAGCTTCTGATGGACATTTTTATGTGTTTTTCGATTTTTTAGGGTTTATATCACACTTTTGTAAATATTTTTGGTGGTTTTAAATAACTTGAAGTGAAGATTAAGGTCATAAGAATAATGAAAATGATCAACAACCACAGAAACTCTTTGATTGATAAGCAAATTCTTCTTTACAGCATCTTAGGAAATGTATGTAGAACGTTGATAAGTAGAGAGAATATGCATACTGATCTAGGGGTGTAAAGGGTTAATTGACTATTCTGTTCAGTCTCAGTGACCAAGACAGAATTTCTCCTTACAATATCAATACAATATCAAGCAGACAAGTGATGAGAATAAAGAGAAGCATCAATAAGGGGATAATTAGTTGATCCAAAAAGAAATTCTCTGAACTAACATCATGAGGATGGTATGGCAGACAGCAAGGAGAATTACTATTGAGATCTCAGCAGTGAAAGGGTTAACCTGTTTCTTAGATATTGTTTTGAAATTGTCTGGAGAAGTTACAGGTCACATGTCACTCCTGAGAATTTCACTCCCAAGATCTTTTTAGTGATTCTCTTTACTATTTGCTACACAATTCTTATGATGTTAGTTTGGAGAAGTCGGCTTTGGATCAACCAACAATCCCCTACTTGATGTTTTTCTCTATTCTCAGCACTTGTCTGCCTGATATTTTATTGTTAATGTTAGGAGAAATCCTCTCTTGACTGTTCCTGGAAAGATTTGCATAGCCCCGAACAGAAGTGACTTACTGCAAATTCCCATTGCTGCATGACTCCTTTTGACAACATAGAATTATAAAATGATAAAATGGTAATGAAACATGGATAATTGTAAGATTTTATGATGAAATGTTGTGAAACACTAGTAATCAACAGTCTTGATTTGTTGTTGCAGGATGTGATAGAAGCAATTCGTGACTCAGCATTTGTGACATCTGAGTACCCAGTGATACTATCCTTTGAGAATCACTGCAGGTATCCTGTCATTAGCATTATTACTTTATAATTATGAAATTTTACCATAATTACAGTTGAACCTCCTCACAATGACCACCCTGAGGACAGGAGAAAGTGGCCATCATGGAGAGGTGGCCGTCGTGGGGAGATAGGGATGTAATGCATGGACAACTGGATGGGACCAAAAAAAGTGGCCATCATGGAGAGGTGGCTGTTATGGGGAGATAGGGGTGTAATGCATGGACAGCTGGATGGGACCAAAAAAAGTGGCCATCATGGAGAGGTGGCTGTTATGGGGAGATAGGGGTGTAATGCATGGACAGCTGGATGGGACCAAAAAAAGTGGCCATCATGGAGAGGTGGCTGTTATGGGGAGATAGGGGTGTAATGCATGGACAGCTGGATGGGACCAAAAAAAGTGGCCATCATGGAGAGGTGGCTGTTATGGGGAGATAGGGGTGTAATGCATGGACAGCTGGATGGGACCAAAAAAAGTGGCCATCATGGAGAGGTGGCTGTTATGGGGAGATAGGGGTGTAATGCATGGACAGCTGGATGGGAGCAAAAAAAGTGGCCATCATGGAGAGGTGGCTGTTATGGGGAGATAGGGGTGTAATGCATGGACAGCTGGATGGGA